ATTCCTGCTTCCAGAAGTCAACGAATTTTCCTTTGACAGTTTAGGAGGAGTTGACTCACATGGGAATGTGGTTGGAACTGCACTTATTTTAACTTAAACACAGTTTGATTTTCCTCCTCTTGTTTTGCGGGGTGCAGAAATGTTCTGCACCCCCAGGAGGGAGAGAATCTTCGTGTTACCTCCTTGGCATGGCTGGGAGATCTTGTCCTGCTTAGGAGGCTTGTAGTTAGAGAATTGAATGTGTTTGATTTTTTTTTTCTAAGCATTTTAACAGCAATCAAACTTTTTTGTGAAGAAGACATTACTACACATTGTCAAATTTTAATATTTAGGTAGAATTTCCTGTAGTAGGAAGGAGTCATATGTTTACAGAACATTTTATACTGTAACCTTGTACCTGAGTTTATACTCCCTCTAAAATGGGGGAACATAGGCTTTTAACACTGAGATTTAACTATAGAATGTGTGGATGTTGTGACTAAATTCTGGCAACTGTTACTTAAATCAAGACTGGCCAGTGGTCTGCTTTGATGAGCCTCTTTTATCTATTTATAATGCCAGTTTTGGGGGGTGTTTACACTTACCCACCCTGGGATACTAGCTAGTGGTTTTCAAATTTACTCCTTTGCTTTAAAAGCTTAAGTGGCTTCAGTTTTTGTTTTTAGCATACTTTATATAGACAAAAATAACCTAACAACAATTATTAGCTTAGATATATAGAACTGCTATGAGAAGCAGAATTATTTACATGCTGATCATTCATGCATTTTTTTAGATGGTAAATCCAGTGTGGGATCTTAGTTACAGTCATTCCTTAGTTTCATAAACATTACCTATTTACTTTGGGCCGCCAGCATATTGCCAGGTGCCTTTGGTGGAGGGATTACATGAGAAATGAAAATAGATTCCTTCTCCCGTTGTCTTATAATTTTTAAATTCCACAAAGATAAATGTCTAAAAATGTATCCTGTTAATTGTATTCAGAAATAATGCTACGTTCCATTGCAAACCAAAAGTTAAAGTATATGGACTTATTCAGAGTTTAAATATTTGTTCAGTTAATTATTCCCCAGCATAACTATAAAATGTTACATAAAACTGTAATGCAGAGTAGGGAAAAACTGTAAAATGGTACAAATGAAGCCATTGTGTTTATTAAATATATTGTCGATTGAAAATAGTACATTTTGGGGACTTCCCTGGTGGCACAGTGGTTAAGAATCCGCCTGCCAATGCAGGAGACATGGGTTCAATCCCTGGTCTGGTAAGATCCCACATTGCCACAGAGCAACTAGGCCCGTGTGCCACAACTACTGAGCCTGTGCTCTAGAGCCTGTGAGCCATAAATGATGAGCCCTTGTGCCACAACTACTGAAGCCTGCATGCCTAGAGCCCGTGTTCTGCAACAAGAGAAGCCACTGCAATGAGAAGCATGCCCACCACGACGAAAGAGTAGTCCCCGCTCACTGCAACTAGAGAAAGCCCGTGTGCAGCAACAAAGACCCAACGTAGTCAAAAATAAATAAATAAATAAAAATAAATACATTTATTTAAAAAAAAAGAAAACAGTACATTTTGAGGAGGGTAATATTATCTTGATCATTTCATTTTAAATCTAGTTCACTGGTTGTGTGCTGTGTGACTTGCATGTGAAGGGCATTTTTCTAGAGGCAGGGGCTGGGGGGATGCATGAGGCAGCAACAGGCTGTGCCTTGCAGTGTCTCCCAGCCAGGGCGGGGGACATGGACAGATGCAGGAGGGAGTGGAATTGCTATGGGGGCGATGTGAACACGTGCCCAGGGAGCACTTATTAAACTACATGAGAACAGTCATAAAAGTTTATATCCAGGTCTGGCTTTTGACGTTTATGCCCAGAATATATTCTTGTCACATTAACATAACTTTTCTTCCCAGATGATTTTAAAGTGGCTTTTCTAGGTGAAACAAAGAACTCTGTATCATGAGTATGGGGGAAATTCTGTTTCAGATCTGAGTAACTTCTGTTTTAAATATAGTAAAACCCCTGCTTTCTAGTCTTGCCTTATTTATTTATTTATTTTAAACAGATTTATTATTTATTTATTTTTTAAATTTATTTTTGGCTGCGTTGGGTCTTAGTTGCGGCATGTAGGATCTTCGTTGAGGCATGCGGGATCTTTCGTTGGGGCGTGCAGGCTTATCTCTAGTTGTAGCGTGCGTATTTTCTCTCTATAGTTGTGGTACGCGGGTTCCAGAGTGCGTGGCCTCTGGTTTGTGGCATGAAAGCTCTCTAGTTGAGACTTGCGAGCTCAGTAGTTGTGGTGCATGGGCTTAGTTGCCCCGTGGCATGTGGGATCTTAGTTCCCTGACCAGGGATAGAACACGTATCCCCTGCATTGTAAGGTGGATTCTTTACCACTGGACCACCAGAGAAGTCCCTAGTCTTGGCTTATTTTAAATAGCATCTTACTTCACTAGTGTCATGTATTGACTTCCCTAAGCTGACTGATGTCTGAGCTGTAGAGATGCTTTACAAGCATTCATTATTATTAGGGAGAATGAACAGAGAAGCCTGTGTCCTAGCCACATCTTCTTTATGCGCTAATTAAAAAAAAAAGGAAAACCTTCCAGGAGGGAGAAATATAGTATTTAAAAATCATCCTTGGGACTTCCCTGGTGGTGCAGTGGTTAAGAATATGCCTGCCAATGCAGGGGACATGGGTTCGAACCCTGGTCTGGGAAGATCCCTCATGCCACGGAGCAACTAGGCCCGTGCGCCACAACTATTGAGGCTGAGCTCTAGAGCCCACAAACCACAACTACTGAGCCCACGTGCCACAACTACTGAACCCCACGCACCAAGAGCCCTTGCTCCGTGACAAGAGAAGCCACCACAATGAGAAGCCCATGCACGGCAATTAAGAGTAGCCCCTGCTCACCGCAACTAGAGAAAGCCTGCGTGCAGCAACGAAGACCCAACACAGCCAAAAATAAAAAATAAATAAATTTATAAAAAATAAATAAATAAAAATCATCCTTGCAATGACTGCGTTTTTAGTAAACTTGGAGGTTTTTCATCTCTTTTTGTGTCCTGAGCTCTTGGTACCTTAAGTTCAACCCAGCAAAGCTCCAGTCCTCTGATCCCAAAACCTTCTGTTCTCCTTAGAGAGAGATCGCCTGCCTGGAGGATGAGAAGGCAGCCCTTACCTTGGCCATGGCTGACCGGCTGCGGGACTATCAGGAGCTCGTGCAGGTGAAGACTAGCCTCAGTCTGGAGGTGGCAACCTATAGGTAAGGATGCTGCGCTGAGTCCACCAAGCTGGAGCTGGCAGTGTGAAAGTCCCTGCACCCTCCGTGGAGTGGCTGTGGCTTTGTGTTACTGAGCCCTTACTGCCTGCCAGATGCAGTGCTAAGTCCTTCGCAACTGCTCACTGCCCATAGTCACCCTCTGGTGGTGGACACCACACATCCCTTTTGCAGGTGAGGGAAGGGGCCTGGAAGCAGGGGTCCAGGCTGCTGAGGGCCTGTGCCTTACCCACCGAGCATGGCAGCCCTTGGCGGAGCCCCTGGCTGAATTGAGGGATGGTCCTAGGGCCAAGCTGGTGGGGGCCTTGCTGGGTCCCTGCTCTGGGAGCTATGCAGCCTGAGTCCTGCAGAAGGAATGCTGGTCAGGGCATGGGGGAGGGGAGAGGAGGCACTTGCCAGCCTGTCTTTCCCAAGGTCCATCTCCACAGTCTTCTTGGAAATCTCATGGGGTGAACAATTGCAAAATTAAATTGGTAGGGTATTGAAACAAATGCTGAGTGAGATAAGCTGAGCTTTACTAATAAGGAAAACTTCAAAACAATCGGGCTTTATCTGGGGGAAGGAAGCATTAGAATTTTTTTCACTTGCAAGTGACAGAAGCCCTCTCAGACTGGCTCAAGTCAAAAAAGGCATTTATTACTCATATAACTGAAAACGTCCTTAGTTTTGGGCATGGTAGGTTCATCCGGTTCCCCGGATAGGGTTGTTGGCGGGCTGTCCCTGCCTGCTCTGGCCCCTCCTTCCTTGCTTTGCCCCCACAGTGGCAGGAGGGGCCCCAAGAAGCTCCAGGCTTTTGTCCTTGCAACCCCCCAATCCTGTGGTCAGAGGAGGGGCGTCTTTCCCACTATCCTAGTAGGACTCCTGGACCCACTCTGGCTCTGCTGGGTCATGTGCCCATCCTTGGCTGGGGGAACAAAGTGCTTGAAAGGGGTTAGCTTCCCATGAGTCACATGGACTGAGATTTGGGTGGGAGGTACCCCAAACCAGGCATCGTTCTAGAGCGGATGCTGGGTCAGCCTAGAAAACCCGCATCTGTGCCCCTGTTAGGTGACACCTGGTGTCAGGTGAGGTCTTTTCTCTACAGAGGCAGTTGGATCTTCCTGTTTCCTTTTTGTAAAAGTTCCCTGGGTTGGAGTCAGGAGACCTTGATTTTATGCCTCATCTCTCTGGGATTTTGAGCCCTTTCCTTCCTCGCTTTGTCCTGCCCCCAGTTCTCTGTCATGAAAAGTCAGAGGGCACAGGTGGGCATCTTGCCTGAGAGGCCGGGGCCTTACCTCTCTGGTAGGTGTTCACAACCCTACCAGCTTAGCTTTCCTCAAGGCTTAGCTTTTTCTAGCTTTTCTCTTGGTCGCGAGCCTTTTTCACTCATGTCAGCAGGGACGGAGTTTACTCCTGTCTGTGGCCGGGTGTTTCTTTAACCCATTTAGGGATTGACTTGGCCGTCTCCTAGGAGTTTAGGAAGCATCAGTCCTTTCTGGGAAGTGAGTGATTTCACTGTGTGCCTTCCTGAAGTCCAAGTTTGCGTGGGGAAAATGGGGAGCCCAGCCCAGGGGCCTGCATATGCCCGGTGCTGCCCAGCTCCAGACCCCAGCCTCTGTGGTTAGAACTGCTGCCGCCCCCCTGCCCTCCAGTGCTTAGGATTGAGTCTGGGAGATGCCCGCAGGTCTGAAAGACATAGAGGCGGTAGAATATGTCCTGTTTCTTTGTATCAGCCAAAAGCCTAGCATTTTTTTATCACTGATAAGTGTCCTGAAGATAAACCCTTGTCATGTCTGACGTGATTCTTTCAGTACTTTGTGCTGCTGCCCGAATTCTGAGGCCAGGTTTGAAAATTCCTCTTCACAAGTGCCCATTTGATCTTTACAGACCTCGACCTTCCATCTCTGGGAAGTTGACTTTCTTCCCACACCCTGCCTCTCTGAGGGCAGCAGGGACAGTCAGCTCCGTGGGGACCACGTTCCAGGGCCCCGTGCAGTGTGACTGCTCACCAGCCCTGTCCAGAGGGGCTGAGGTGGCCAGTGCTGCGGCAGGCATTGCTTCGCCCGCCATGGCTGAGGTTGTGTTTCCCCGAAGTTTCAGGCCACTCCTCTAGCACTGCTCAGACAGACATGTGAGGTGTGTGAGCAAGGAAGAGAAGGGAAGAGAAGGGCTGTGGCTCTGGAAAGCTGAAAGTGCATCACAGCATGGCTGGACTCTGTGGGCTGTGCTTAGGCCAGGTCTCAAGTATCGTGAGCCCTTCCAAACCCAGGTATTTAGCCCTTTCCAGTAACCTTAAAGAAGAAACGTTAAGGTAATAATAAAATGGTGCAACTCATAATTTATAGGGATAGACTTACAGTTTATACGTAAATATATAATTTTAACAAAATAATAAAATTAAAACGAAGCAAACCTCAGAGTCTAAGACTGGTGGATTTCACCAAACCTAAGTTGGCCAGTTGGTGGCCAGGGAGACTGTGGCGCCTGGCCTGGCAGGTGAATGTGAGAATGAGCCCTTTGCTCCCACATTGCAGGTGATGATGGGCAGAAGCTGTGGGGCTGGGCTGGGGCTGAGGATGCTGAGAGAAGGGGGAAGTGTGGGAGAAGACAGGCTGGCACAGTTGTGCTTGCTCTTGTCTGCCTGTCTCCAGTGGTGTCATGTGGGGCTGGAGATGCTTATCCGCCTGATATGTCATCTCGAGGTTTTTCCTGACATGTGAGTGCTTATTATATGAGGGGCTGAGTAATGAAAGGGGAGATTCTCAGAAACAGGACAGGGCGTGGTTCTCAGCTGCACCTGCACGTGGGCATCACTGGGAGAAGCTGATGAAGCATCGGCTCCTGGACCCAGTTTAGATATTCCCATTAGATTGGCACAGGGTGGGCCCAGCCATGGTAGTGCTAAAGCTCCGAGGATGATTGTCAGATGCGTCCAGGGAAGAGAAACACTGGTCCAGGGCCTTGCTCACAGGGGCCTGCAGACCCATAGTGTCGGCATCACTAGGCATCTCAAACTTGTGGGAAACCTTGGACGCACCCCAGACCTACTGATCAGAGTTGCCTTGTCACAAGATCCCAGGTGATTTGTGTGCACACTACTGTTTGCAGAGCAGCCCACAGGCATCCAGAAAGCTCTAAGCCTATCTCACAGCAGCCTAGAGGACAAGACAAAAGATAGGCAGGCTGAGTGGGGGAATGGCGCTGTTGGGGGCTGATGGAGTGTGCAGAGCAGGCTTCCTGGAAGAGGCAGTGCCAAGTCTTGCAGGAAGGGCAGCCAGGAAGAGACCATGTGGGAAGGGCTTTCCAGGCAGAGGGGGCAGCCCGAGTGAGGACCTGAGGACTGACCTAGTGTGGCATCTCTGGCAATACCAAGCATTCGGGTGTCCCTGGGCAGCTTGGTTTTGGGGGCTGTCATTGAGGGCCATGTATGTTGGGTGGATGAGAGCCACACCCGTGAAGCCATGTTTTGTGAGCTGGGTAGGGTCTGTGCTCTCAGGCTGCTCTGGAGATGCTCGGCATGCAGGGTGTGATGCCTGCTCAGAGGGGCTCAGAAGCGTGCGGCCGGGTGCTCAGGATCATGTGCTGTGGATAAGGCTGCGTGGACCGAGGTAGCCTCCTACACCATAGGAGACAAGACACATCCCCCAAGACACACAAGTGCAAGTTTTCTGGAATCAGAAGGGAGTTGTGAGAATCAGGGAAGGTTTCTAGAGGGAGATGAGATTGATCTGGGTCTTGAAGGTTGGCAGAGATTTGAACAGACATAGAAGAGGGGGAGGTGGGAAGTGGGGGGTGGCATGGGAGGAGGGAGGGAGAAGGATGGTTAGGTGAAAAGTCAAACAAGATGTTAAAATAACAGTATGCATGTTCCAATAAAATACCGTACATGGTTTACTGCCAATGAACAGAGTTTGATAAAGATGGTTAGGAGAAGGGATGGAGAGCTTCAGGCCGAGGTAATTAAGAGAGATTTGCAAGGGATGTGGGATTTGAGTTGGGCCTTGAAGGGGCAGGGAAAGTGGGGAATAGGAATTTTACTGGCAGAAAGGTGTCAGAAAGGAGCTCCAGGTGCACAAGTCAGGATAAGAAAATAAGTGGAGGAAGGAGAATGCAAGATGAGTCATCAGAGGCCTGGAAGGAGGCAGATTGCAGGGGCCTCCATTGCCAGGCCACTGAGATGGGGCGGTTCCAGGGCCAAAGCCGAGGAGAGGGGAGCCAGCTGCTGGCAGGTAGAGTGCAGGAGGGTCTGGGCCTGGGGTGGAACGGGTATGTGTGTCTGTGGGTGGGGGCGGAGGCCTTGGGAGGTGCATGTGGTGGTCGGAGATTCGGGACCTGACATAGGTAGGTACCCGAGGGAACCTCCACTCAGGGCTGGTGGGGGCAGTGATGGAGGGGCCAGGAGCAGGAGGTTTCTGGGTAGGAACGTGGGCAGATGTGCTGCTGGGCACACAGTCTTGTAAACTAGATCACCCTACACTGAGCCCTTTCCACAAAGCAGGTGGAGAGGGCTCAGTGGGCTTATTCAGACTTAGTGTATTATCTGAAGATGGTGAAACTGACAGTATTCAGAACCCACCATGTCCCAAACCCCTCCACTACTGACATAAAGATCAGGCCCAAAAGCTATCGATTGAGAACTTGCAGAAACACAGTTAAAAAATAGAGCACTCCCGCCCCCATCCCCCCCCCCCCAAAAAAAAAAAAGAGAACAGAACACAATCATCAGGAGTAAGCTGTTAGAAAATATACTGGAAAAAAAAAAGATAGTCAAAATTGAAACAAAAAAATGCAAAAATAACCCAGGAATAAACTGAGTCCAGAAACCACAAAACTGAGGGTAAGAACAGGCCCATCCTAGATTTCTTATCTGGGGGACAGATGATGAAATCTCCATCAAATTTTACAAAGAGGCTTTGTTTTTTATGTTTTGGGGGTGGAGAATATAACAATTCTAAGTTTTACCTGAAAAAATGGAAAGCAGAGCCAAAGGATTTCTCAGACAGAAAACACTAAAGGGAGTCTTGCCTGGCCAGATACGAAAATGTAGTGCAAAGGTTTCCTGCCTGGGGACTTCATGGCAAAGTCCTTTTAAAAGGTTAGTTTCTTTGTATGTCTGTGCTGGGGGAGGACGTGCAGAGCCCCCCTTTCCTCTTTCTGATGGCAGTGGGCAGAGGTGGCGGGTTTTAACTGAGAATATTCAGTCTCTAGGTTTAGACTGCTAATGAAGCAGTACAGATAATGCTTAACATTTGCTAATTTCATCATTTTAATGAAGTTTCTGGTTGCTCCATTGTTTTTAAGATCACCTGTACCTTTTTATGTGTCTGTTCAAAGGAAAACATTTCTTGGGAAGTTCTCAAGTTCTTGGAGAAATACATTTTTAAAAAATTAATTAATTAATTTATTTTTTGACTGCATTGGGTCTTTGTTGCTGCGCACAGGCTTTCTCTAGTTGCGGCAAGCGGGGGCTACTCTTCGTTGCAGTGCGCGGGCTTCTCATTTTAGTGGCTTCTCTTGTTTTGGAGCGCGGGCTCTAGGCGCGTGGGCTTCAGTAGTTGTGGCACGCGGGCTCAGTAGTTGTGGCTCGCAGGCTGTAGAGCGCAGGCTCAGTAGTTGTGGCGCACGGGCTTAGTTGCTCCGCGGCATGTGGGATCTTCCCAGACCAGGGCTCGAACCCATGTCCCCTGCATTGGCAGGTGGATTCTTAACCACTGCACCACCAGGGAAGTCCCCATTTTGTTTTTTTAAAGTTGAATCCTATTTTTGGGAAAACCTATAAAAATGTGTTAACACTGAGACTTACCTGGTTATTAGGTGAAAAATTTGAAGTTAATAAAATCTTGTAGTTTTTTTTTTTTTTTTTGATGTTTTTTTTTTTTTTTTTTTTTTTTTTTGCGGTCCACGGGCCTCTCACTGTCGTGGCCTCTCCCGCTGCCGGAGCACAGGCTCCGGACGCGCAGGCTCAGCGGCCATGGCTCACGGGCCCAGCCACTCCGCGGCATGTGGGATCCTCCCGGACCGGGACACGAACCCGCGTCCCCTGCATCGGCAGGCGGACTCTCAACCACTGCGCCACCAGGGAAGCCCAAAATCTTGTAGTTTTAAGGATAGAAAATTAGGATCAGCGGATACATTTGGTTGTTAGCCTTACCCACATCATTGTGTAAATGAATTAGCCCTCAGTTAACCATGACTTCAGGTAATCCAGAATCTCTTCTCTTCTTGAACTACTTTGGTTAATGGAAAATCACCTTTTTTCTGAGGTCAGTAGATGATGATGTAGGTGATGATGATGATGGCTGATATTTATTGAGCACATATTCTGTGACAGCCATTGTTGCAAGAACTTTCCAGTCACTTTATTAATTACCACCGCAAACCTGTGAGTGCTGCCTGTTTCAGAAATGGGGAAACTGAGCCACAGAGGGTTTGAGCGGCTTGCCCAAGGTCATAGGACTAGGAAGTGGCAGGATTTGAATCCAGGCAGTTTCTCTGTTAACCACTCCCTGTGCTTTCTCTTTCTGCTTTATTAGTAATCTTATTCTTTATGTCAGTCTTTTTTTTTTCTGTCTCTGGAATTGACAAATGGGATTTCCTTATGTGATTTCATCCCGAGCACAGAGGGAATGACCAGAGGCTGCCTGGCACCGCTGCCTCCTTGTTGTCTTTCCTATGCCTGTGCTTGGGACAGACCCTTTCCAAACCAGATGGTGATGCCGGTCCTGTGGATGGACTTCTGCCCCTCTCTCCTCCCTTCCCACTCCAGTCCCCAGTCTAGAGTGACAGGCGGTCGGTCCCCTGTCCTCTCTGGAGCTGAGGCCCAGGGAAGCTCCTTCTCCCAGCCCCTCCTCCTTTTCCTCCAGGAGCCTGCGTTTTGCCAGGAAGCACCATGTGAAACATCTCTCCACCCAGGACCAGGCAGGCTCCCCCACTGGCGTTGCTTCCGGAAACATCCTCCGACTCTGCCTCCTCCCTGACGCTTGTCCCTGTTTCTGGTGGGCGTGCAGGGCGGCTGCCTTGTGCCCACTGCGTGGAGCAACAGCAGATGTGCCCTGAGCTGCCATCAGGATGATCTATCCCAGACGGGAGCCCTGCTGCTGGCTGGCCCGTGGGTGGTCTGTTAGGGCCTGGCACCCAGCCAGGGGCCGCATTAGAGCTCCCTTCCAACCTGTGGGCTTGTCTCGGCGGCCTTAATGAGGCCAGGGACCTGGTTTTCCAGCACATGTCTGCTTGTTTTCCTGCTTTTCGAGAGGCTGCCAACCCGTGGGCCTGTGTGAGATGTTCACTTATAGCCCGTGATTCAGGCGGTTGGCATTTCTCACTGGCACGGTGGGTCCCAGGCAGTTCTTTTCCACCGCTCCCCAAATCCCCAGAGAATGCTTGACCTGCTCCTTCAAGTTGTACGAGTCTGTTCCTTAAAAACCTTCCTTTGAGAGCTTTTGAGGGAATTGACCCTTTTTGGCCTTGCCCCAGGCGCTTTGTTTATGCCTCTGCCACCTAGTCTTGTGAGCTGTGCTGCTGGAGACGGGTTGTCGTGTGTCATTGTGGGGGTGGGGGTGGGGGGTTCGTAAAGGCATGGATTCAGGGACCAGTGTCCCAGCATTCCTGTGAGGCCCTTTGCTGGGCGCCCAGGTCGAGAAGGTGGCTCCTGCCTGTTGGACCAGCCGTTGGGAGGAGGAGTCGCTGTGGACCTGAGTGCTTCCCTAGTGGGAGCTGCTGCTCTTCCCTGTAGGGACATTTTGATTGAAATCACCAAGAGATGTTGGATCTGCTTTCATTAATATGGTCTGGAGGGTCTGTCTGCGGGATTTGTTCTAAAATGTATGTGAAATGGCACCATCTCTGGCTCCGCAGGGAGGCCCAGGCAGCTTGCAGGGGCGGCTGAGTACCCAGGCCTGGGCTCCCTTTCTCTCGCTGATGAGTGCAGGCCTGCACTCCAGTCTGCTCACCTGTAGGGCCAGAATGCCCATTGTCGGCCCAGTGTGGGGTTGCCAGGAGGACTTGGTGAGATAGAGGGGAGGGTTAGAGCCTGCTTGGTGCTCAGTCTTAGGGCTGGTGAAGGCCTTGGGCCCAGGAGCATTAGTGCTGTGTGACCCCTCGGGGTCTGGTGCCCCCTCCTAGGAACGATAGTACCTGACTCAGGGTCCTGAACTCAGTAAAAGTTTGGTGATGGTTTGGATTTTCCCTGAAAGAGAAGCAAAACCATTCCCCTTTGAGGGGAGAGGGAAGAAATTTTTCCCCCAAGGGGATCTTCTTTATCCTGACCGCCCCCGCCCCCACCTCCCCAGTCATCAGTTCTCTGCTGACCTGGATGCCCTGCAAGCACTTTCCGTCCTGACTTGGGCAGCTAGCGTGGGAGCCCTGTGGTACCTGAGGCTTCCTCCCGAGCAGGCAGAGGGAAGATCTGAAATAGGACTTGGCTTCTCAGTAGCCCGCTGTGGACCCTTAGCTGTAGGATGCTACCTTTCCTGCTACTGTCATCCTGGGGCACAGACCCTCACAGGCTGACTTTTACCTTGAACGTGTTCCTTTTATTCTATAAAGACCTCGGGATTTTCTCGGCAGTGGAAGCTATTTGTGTTCCTGGAACCGAACATGCTTGGTCATGAGGGTGTGGGATTAACGGGCTGGTGTCCTGTTTCCTGGCTCTCGCCTGGCGTGGAGGGCAGGGCTCTGGATGTGGCCCCTCGGCTTCTTGCATCCACACGTGCACACTGCAGTCGCAGCTTCCAGGAGAACCCTCCTGTGCACACCTGGACTGGAATCCCTCTCATCCTTGTCTTTGCTTTTTCCTTAGGGGGGCCTCCTTGCTCTCTTCCACCTGCCCACAGCGTTCTCGCATTTGTGGGAATCACTGCGTTTGAATCAGTGGAAATAGAACTTGGCCCTGGTCTGCCTGATCCGAGAGTCCCCACCCGGCTCCGGCGTCCCTTCCCTCTTTGGCTGCCTGGCTCTCAGTGGTCAGATCAGCATTTCCAAGTGGGCCCCGCTTCTGCTTGCCCTTTGCCGTATGCAGTATATCTCTTGGAACTGACGTTAGTGACCTCACACATTGCCCTAGCAACTGAACAACTGTTGTGCCCGCAGCAGCCCATGTCCTAGGGTCTCCAAGCGATGGACATCCCGCACTGACCCACTGCGGTGTGCTGGGGCTATGGGGCCTGACCTCTGCTCTCTCCTCAGGGCTCTGAGTCATAGACATGAATAACAACTTAATGAAGACTCTAGAGTTTTACACTTTGGGAGCTAGACATGGCCAAAGAAACCACCTAGTCCAGTGCATTTTGCCATTTTATCAGAGGAGATAACTAGATGCCGCCTGGAATGAGACCCCTGGGGGCCATGGTGGTGGAGGGGGGTGGTCTGCAGCTCTTCCTTCTCCTCTTACGCCTGCCCTTTCCCTCTCTCCTCTTTTTTCATCTCTAAGATGTCCCCATGGAACCCAGTATGAAAACTGCAGATGCAGTCTGGCTGCCTTATTTACAAACAAATGTCAGTCCTTATTCTGCCCTTAGTCAGCCCCTGACCTGTGACTCCAGAGAGACCCCAGTGGGGTAGTAGTAATTGTTTTGGGTCCCTGTAGCCCAGGGTGACCTGCCAGGCCTGGGCCCTTCCTTCCCAGGGAAGCCAGACCCCCGACCTCCCTTCCTGGGCCCACATCCCTCTGTCTCCTCCTCCTCCATGCCCTGGGTTTGGAAGGGTTTTCTAGAAGGCCTTGGCTCTCCAGTCCTTCTGAAGCCCTGGCCCCGTCATTTTGTTCATTTAGCTGAGAGACGCTCTCTCCAGCCAGGTCTGCTGGGGTGGGCTTGCATCGCAGTAGTGCAGCACCTGCAGACACATGACACTGTGACAGTGTATCATTGACCAGATCGACAGCTAACAGAGGCACTTCTTGTCTTTTATTTCCTAATGAGTTTTTTAAAAATAATTTTTACAGAGCCTTACTGGAAGGAGAAAGTAATCCGGAGATACAGATCTTGACTGAGCGCATTGAAAATGTGCCACAAGGTAAATATAAGGAAAGCTTATAATTTAACGTTAAGATGCTGTCTATCTGAGCAGGTTCATTCCATGGATAAAGAGTAAAGCATCGTTTATCTGGAAGAGTTGGGGTTAGATAAGAGTTTTCAGATACCTGTCATTTGTCCCTCTCAAGTATCAAATAGATTTTATTTAATGGGCCATAGTTTCAATAATAATGCAAATGAAATTGTGTGGGGAAGGGCTTCATTAACTCATGTGTTCATCTAGCCAGTGTTTGAGGGTGCTTCCTACCCAGCGTGGTGAGGGAGGAGAGGGCTGATGGAAAGCTGGGAAGTGTGAAGGGTGAGAGGTGGACATGGATTTGTTCATCACACCCTGTGGAGGGAGCACCCTTTACAGACCAAAGACTTACAGCCTTTACCCAAACCTAGGGAGGTATTACTTTGTACAGCAGGCAATCAACACTGGAACTCGTGACCCCACTGGCGGGAGAGGTGGGAAGGATTACACTGTTTCCACCAGCCTAGGTTTGCGTGGGCAGCTCAGGGTGGTGTGAGCGGCAGTGTCACCTAGTGCCCTGAAGTCAGCCTCTGTTTGGGCCAAAAGCTGCAGCACAAAGCCTGTATTTCCTGTAGCTGCAGAACTGACATTAGAGAGTTAATGTTCATCAGAAAGACCCGGAGAACCTGTAGGATAACTTTTTTTTTTTTTTTTAAAGTTTTCTCAGTCCTGTAAAACCTTAAAAAGCTTTCTGGCTAAGCGAGGGCAGATTACATTATGTGTAGTATGTTCTGTATACACCTTACTCTGTGTAGTTTCAGGCTCCGTGAGTGTTGCCATGTTCAAAATCATGGTACATTGGGATTACATGTATGTACTGGTTACTGCTGTCAGGAGAATGTGATTATAACAGTCAATCTGGATAGGTGGTAGTTATTTAAAAAATAACACTCCCCATCTTTATTTTCAAAAACAACATCCCTATTAGACACTTCACAGATTGACAGGTCACTGCGTTCAGAATAATTTTGGTTCCAGTCATCTGTGACTGTAAGGGATGTGGTCTTAGTGTCTAGCAAGTTTGCTTTTGAATTTGAGAGTAAGGTTGGTTGGCTGCTGTGGGGGAGACCCAGGGGGCGAGAAGCCTCTGCCCAGCTCAGCAGATGGGTGTGGGTGGGCACAAAGGGGTGCCTGCAGGGTGGATGATGCTCCTGGCCCGGCCACATTCCTGCCACCAGCTGCCACCCCTAAGAGCAGGTACCCTGGGTAGCATGTCTCTGGATGGTCCAGAGCAAAGCAGGAAGCCCCATGGACCGCCTCCCAACCCCAGGACCATGACATTAAGACAGGTTGTAGTATTGGTGGTTGGTTGGCTTCCTGCTTTGGCACCTTTTCAAATGAGATGTTTGTATTAAAAAAAAAAAAGAAGTATAAAAATAGAAGAAATCAGGAATTAAAAAAAAAGTCAAATTCTTCAATATTTGTTGGCCCAACATGGAAATCAGTGAAAAATAAGAGCATAGTAAAAGGTGGAGGGGTTATGCCATTCAGTGTTTAGTATTTATGTACTCTGTAGTAATTATGAAACTCTTCTCTGCTAATCAGTAAAATAAAGTTATCTCAACAAAGTGGAAATGAAGGATTCCAAATTGTGAAATTTCTGCCACATAAATAGCGCCCCTAACGTCTCTGGCACGTGTGCCATGCTTTACGATCACACATTTGATATATTTAAGATGCATGAATATTTTAAGATCAGTAATTGGAGAAAAGTGTTGAGTGGAAGCATTCGTAGGGCTATATTTTATTGTCATAGGTTTCTTTAAACTACCAGAAAAAAATAATTTGGGGGTTGAAAATATCTCATTTATAATGACCCTCCTGTGGTAATAGTGTATATTATGATGGGATGGGATTTGATCTATGGTGATGCTCTTCAGATGAAAAAAGGTAATGATGACTCATTTTAATGCACTGTTCAATTTCTACAGAATTCAGAAACAAGCCCTATCAATATACCACCTCAGTATTACAGAGGGAAAACGAAAGAAATCTGTTTCCAAGGCAGAAAGCACATTCGGCGAGCTTCAATCACAGCCTGGTGCCACGTTCTCAGACGGCTGTTAGAAGCGCTGCCAGAAGAGACTTCCTGGGCTCCAGATACTCTTCCTTTATCACTGCCCAGCAGGAAAACTCTTATGAAAAAACTGCCAGCAGTCAAACCAACTTCAGAAATTTCTCTCCAACCCCTGGTCTTTTAAGAAATACTGAAGCTCAAGTCAAAACATTCCCTGATAGACCAAGAACTGAAGGTATAAAGGGCGCCCCCACTAGTTTAGCCAAAGAGTCCGCCGTTGCCCAAGAGTCCTACCAAGAACGCCAGGACAGTGTGGTGGCAGGTGCTCCCGAGAGCACTTGGTCAAATGAGAGGACCGTCATTTTGGGAAAGAAAATGGAAGCTAAAGCCACAAGGGAGCAGGAGAGAAACAGACCGAGAACCATCCAAACAAAGCGAGAAGAGAAAATGTTTGATTCTAAAGAGAAGGCTTCAGAGGAGAGAAACTTAAGGTGGGAAGAACTTACAAAGTTAGATAAAGAAGCAAGAAAGAGAGAAAGCCAGCAAATGAAGGAAAAGGCAAGAGAGGAGTCACTGAAGGAGAAGCGTGTGAGGGAGAGCGAGATACCGATCAGTCTAGAAGTATCCCAGGACAGCACAGCAGAGGCGGCCCCCCAGGGTCTCCAGACACCCCTAAAGAAGGACGCTGGTGATGGAGCACGTAGAGGGGTGGAAACGAGAGAGGCAGGGCTCAGGCTGGGCACCAGCGACACTGCAGGCTCTCTGAAAGGTAATTCCATGACCGAAACCATAGCTGAGAACATCGTTTCCAGTATCCTGAAACAGTTTACCCACTCTCCCGAGACAGAAGCATCTGCTGATTCTTTTCCAGACACAAAAGTCACTTACGTGGACAGGAAAGAGCTTCCCGGTGACAGGAAAACGAAGACTGAGATAGTCGTGGAGTCAAAACTGACTGAAGAGGTGGACATTTCAGATGAAGCTGGCCTGGACTACCTGTTAAGCAAGGAGGCTAAGGAGGTGAAGCTGAAAGGAAAATCAGCTGAGCATTTGATCGGAGATATAATCAGTCTTGGTCTGAAGGGGAGAGAGGGGAGAGCAAAGGTCGTCAACGTGGAGATCATCGAAGAGCCCGTGAGCTATGTCAGTGGCGAGAAGGCGGATGAGTTTTCTACACCATTCGAAGTGGAGGAGGTCGATGACGTGTCTTCGGGCTCCAAGGGGCTTGTTGAGGAGGAAGTTTACAAAGAAACAGATATCACGTGCCCAGGGAATGAAGGTCAAAAGACCAGGCAGCCCCAAGAGAACATAACTCACTTTGAAGAAGTGACGGAGGCAGGTGACTTGGAGGGAGAGCAGAGTTATTTGGTGTCGACTCCGGACGAATACCCTGGTGGCCATGAGAGAGATGAAGGCCCTGTGTACGGGCAGATCCACATCGAAGAGGAATCCACCATCAGGTATTCCTGGCAAGATGAAATTGTGCCAGGGTCTCGGAGAAGAATGGAGAGAGATGATGCTTTGGGAGAGAAGGTTGTGAAGCCACTGGATGTTCCAGAAGCATCTCTGGAGGGGGACATGGGTTCTACTCACTGGAAAGGACAAGCGAGAAGTGGTGAATTTCATGCTGAACCCATAGTCATTGAAAAGGAAATTAAAATACCACATGAATTCCACGCATCCATTAAGGGAGGCTTCAAGGAGCCCAGGCACCAGCTGGTGGAAGTGATTGAGCAGCTGGAGGAGAGCCTTCCAGAGCGCATGAAGGAAGAGCTGTCCACCTTCACCAGAGAGGGTCAGGGCGGGCCCGGGGGTGGTTCCGTTGATGTAAAGAAAGTCCAGACCGCGGGTGGCGGGGCTGTGACCTTAGTGGCCGAAGTCAGCCTCTTGCAGACGGTGGATGCCGATCAGTTAGACCTGGAGGAGCTGAGCAGGGATGAAGCGGGTGAGATCGAGAAGGCCGTGGAGTCGGTGGTACGAGACGGCCTGGCTAGGCGGCACAGGCTGGCCCCTGGCAGCCCAGATGGGGAGGCCAGAACGGACGCCCCGGCTGCTAGCCGCGGCTTCAAGCGCTGGGCCACCCAGGAGCTGTACAGGCCCTCTGGTGAGGAGGCCGACGCCGGCCGGGCCTCTCCCCGCACAGAGCTGGTCACTTCCCAGGGCCCCGTGTCGGCCTCCGTGGAAGTCACCAGCCCAAGGGGCTTTGCCCAGTCACATGTGCTGGAGGATGTTAGTCAGTCTGTGAGGCACGTTCAAATAGAGCCCCCTGGAACTTGGAGGACTGAGCAAGTCTCACCTGAAGGACCCGCCGCCCAGGTGGTGGAGATAAGTGGGGAAGGTGACCTGAGTTGGGCAGCAAGCTCGGCGGGAGCCAGCTTGTCTGCAAGGCATCTTACGTTGGGTCCTGATCAAAGTCAATTGTCCAAAGAAGTCTTCTTCCCAGGGCCTGACCCTCCCTGTCCGGGGGCCGGGGACTCAGAAGAGCCTGGCCCGGCAGAGGTTTCCACAGATCCTGACAGATCGGGGAGGCACAGCCCATTTGGCTCCCAACAATTTCATTCTAAGAGGGAAATTATTTTTCAGGCTCCCGCTTCTGAGGCAGGGAAGGTTGGTGATTATTTTTCAGAAGAAGAGTCAGCGGGTACCCAGACTTCTGTGAAGCACCTTCAGTTAGGCCTCAGGGAGGGGTTCAGTGAGCAGATCCAGCTCACAGCCCCCCTTTCAGACAGAATGGAGTTGAGTGTCAGAGAAGCTTCTGTGCACACGGAAGTGTGGTCAGGGAATGGCACATCCATCAGGCACATCAAGACCGTGCCTCAGAGGCATCAGGGCACCGAGCAGATAGTTCCCCCACCCTCGGAATTTAGCGATTCAGAAAGCAAAGCCTATGGAGAGGGCTCGGCAGACGTGACCCAGGCCACCCGTAGTTATGCTGTGGGTAGGAGAATCCTGATGACTGAGAAGAGCACCTTCCAGAGGGCTGTTTCTGAATCGTCTCAGGAGGCTAGTTCAGGAGACACGTCAGGGGCAGAAGCGACATCAGGTGTGAGCAGTTCCTTTAGGCATATCCAGCTGGGTCCTGCAGAAACCAACACCTCTGCACAAGTTGTCTTCCACGGACCCATTTCCAAAACATTTGCACTTGCTGGTTCGGTGGACTCCCCTGAGATAGGCGAGGTCGCAGACAGTGGCAGAACACTAAGGCACGTTGCCCTGGGGCACAAAGAAACTTCGTTTACCTTTCAGATGGACGTGAGTAACGTAGAGACGACCCCCCGCTGGACCCGAGAGGCCACAGTCCTCTTCCCCGCAGGGACAGAAGCAGAAGCTCATAGTGTGTCTGACCGTGATGCTTGGAGAGATGCCAGCAGTAGGAATGACCTGGCAGCTGGCGTGAGCTTTCAGGGCTCTGCTGGGGACAAACACCAGGCCCCCGGGGAAAAGGGCAAGGAGCAGGCCGAGTTTGATAAGATGGTGCAGCTGCAGAGGATGGTAGACCAAAGGTCAGTGATTTCGGATGAAAAGAAGGTTGCCCTCCTCTATCTAGACAATCAGGAGGAGGAGAATGAGGGACACTGGTTTTGATAAACATATTTTGTTTTAAATGCCATCTTATTGGGTAACATACGACACACAAAGGCCTTTACTTCCTTTAGGGGAGGGAGGCACACTCTTTATTAAAACCTTCCCCCTTTTTTACTTACTTTAAAGAGTGCTCCAGGCAATGTCAATTTACTTGATAATTGTAAAGATATCAAACTAATTCATGCCTTAAAAGGCTTTGGAATTTTATTAAGTTGGAACTTTGAGAAAAATATTTTTTATCTTTTTAGTCTTAAAAGTCCCTTGTTCTGGAGTTTTCTTTCTACTCTACCATTCTTGCACCAGGTCACAGAAATGCCTCACATCTGTTTGAAACTATAGCTAGGTAAGATGCCTAAATGGTAATGAGATTAAAGTAATATATTTAAGAGTAAATTTTATTTGCATGTGCTAACATGAAATAGTAAACTAACATTTTAAGGGAAAAATGAATACATTTTTCTCTTTCCAAAGTCTTTTCAAAAAGAAATTGTAGGAAATAAGCAGATTAAAAAAAAAGCTAAATGGTTTCATCTTAGGAAAAAGTTATTTGTCATAGAGTTAAATTCATTTAAAGACTTGAATGAATTGCTTTCTATGTGCAGAAATTTAAATAATATAGTATTTTATTTATGGAGAGGACAGCTCCAGCCTCCTGCAGTATATCAGATCAACACACTAGCTATGTTTGCATAAGTTCCTGGAACGCTGCACTGGGTCCAGGCAGGGACAGGGGCTGGGGGGATGATTATTGGGAATGGCTTACAGTACCAATTTTTTGCAGTACTAGGTTGTTTAGTGCACAGTCTAAATATTCTTTTTTGTTATAACCTAAGTTCTGGAGTAGCCAGCTCTTACCAGGGTATACTTGAGCTTTTCTGCACTTTAGCCTTTAAACATTTAATTTTACTGGTGGGAGGTAGACCCTGAAGACAGTATAAAGAACGTTGATGTGCAGACTGTAGCTGGACTTGTGGGATGGTCATGCACAGTAAAGTTGAAAGCCCAGGTGGGCTGTGCCTCCCAAAGAAGCCCTTTCCAACCCACTGATGATGGGGTGGAGGCCTTTCTGAGCGCAAAGAGTTAGAGATGGAAAAACGGCAACCAACCTCATGGAGGTTTTTGCACTTTCGACAGAAATCATGACAGTGGCGGTGTTTTGTCCAGGGAAACAAATAATACATTAAATAGAATAAGATGTTTTGGGGAGGGAACTGGGTGCCTCTCCCACCGCCCAGCCCTGAAGCACCCACGAAGGGCCCTGGAGGAAGGCAGAGGCCCTACTCTTCTGGGCCACAGAGTGTGGCCCTGTAGATATACGCCACTGAGTTTAAGATACTAGAATGGGTGTGTTCTGCTGGATTTATTTTATTTTACATAAAGGTATTGTTTTTAAAGCTTCCTTCTTTAAAGGTGTAGCCTCACATAAAGATAGTATCTCTAGGAGCACAGTATTGTAATCCAAACTAGTTTCTTTCACTTAATGTTGTCGAAACTGTACCGCCCCTAACTTTGTCATCCTCAGGTAGGACATGATGATGGGGGCCGGTTATGGAATTTGAGGGTCTTCCCTCTAGGTTTCACTGATGGCCCTCAGACCTCCACAACACATATCTCCTCAGCTGCCAGGAATGGCTACAACAAGTAGTTTAGGGAGAGTGCGTTTTCCTAATCAAGAAGTGGAGGATCAATGCAGCACAGCTTTCAGGGTGATCTATTTTTAAAACACCGTGAAGCAGGGTATAGAAAGAAAGTTGATTTGAATTGCAAGTGTAAACCTTTGTTACCTGCCAAATGCACTAGTGATTGTCAGAAACTGGTATGGTGGTGACGGCTTTGCCAATGAAGACTTCTTGTTTCTAATAAAAAGATGAGTTGATTTTATGTTAGTTGTAATTGGTAATGATTTGTATAAGTTATTTATTGGTGAGAATTCGGTCAAGGTGACAGCCTACTGTTTGATGGCAAGACTGATGATGGCGGGAGTCTGTTATGTGTGTCTAAGTAGGCTTAGTTTAATGTCACTCTCCTAGTTTGTGACCTTGGAAATGAGGGCTAATGTGAATAGGTTTATTAAAGTCATGACCGACCTCCATTGGAAAATAAATGTCTTAGATCTTAATTTTTATCTCCATGTTGGAATGCATATCTTTAAGAAGTATCCTGACAAGAGTATTTACCAATATGGAGTCATGAGCTGTTGTTGCTTACTAAGTCTCTGGAACACCCAGGAGCAGGGTGTGCCCTTGACCATGTGACAGGTCATGCCACAGCTCCATGTCCTTTAAAACCAGTCACTCTGGAGACAATAGTAGTCAACTGTGTGGTGGGACAGGGTAAGGACACAACCAGTCTTTTCACATTTATTTTTGTGTAGACAAAACGGTATTAATGGAATGTTTTTCACCTTCCCACTGGCTGTTTTGATATTGTTTGTTTAAAATGTATATTTAGAATGGAATCATCTGAAAAGCTGATCTTGCTAACCACCTGTGAAGGGATATGTCATAAGAATGTATAAAAATAAAAATCTAAGAAAAAAATCCCACATTGTTCCTAAAGAGAATGAATGTTTTCCAGTAGGTTTTTTTGTGGTTTTTATTTAAATTTTAATTAAAGCATATATGTGTTTATGTGCATGTTTTTCTATGGTGGCACAGAATCACTGGGGAGAATATATGTGAAAAGTCCCAGTTCTTTAATTCCTCACCTGAATCAGAACTCGATATTGTTAGCACAGAACTAGAAAGCATGGCAGACAGAGCATAAACCACTGGCTTGTATTCAAATAGACTGGACAGTTTGTGGTAAGAATGTCATCATGACAGCCTGGAAGGCTAGTGACAGTAGCGTGACCAACCATCCCGTTTGGCCTTGAATGGAGGGGTCTCCTGGGACATGGGACTTTCAGTGCTAAAATGAGAACAGTCCTGAGCACACCATGATGGTTCATTACTAACCTTAAGTGCAAACTGGAATGGCTAATCATGCGCATCTCTTAGGAGCTTGAAAAAAGTGCGCTAGTTTGAGACAGAGGAGTAGATACCCTTACCTGTTTGTAGTGTTGTACAAAAACAAACCAAAACATGAATAGCTAGACTCTTCCTTTCATTTTGAAGTTAAAACATTTAATAGATGGGAGACATTTGATGGAACATTCCTAAATTCATTCTTTCTCAGGGTGGTGGCTAAATGTTTTAAAAAGTGTTTTAGTTTCTGTGATTCCAAAATACTGTCCTACAAGAAATAGAGGAAGAAGTAACATCATAATTTACATTTTGTTTTTTCAAAAACCTAGCATGGGCTCTTAGTCTGCTCAGGCTTCTATAACAGAATACCACAGGCTGGAGGCTTATACAATGGACACTTATTTCTCACAGGTCTGGTGGCTCAAAATCCAAGACCAAGGTGCTGGTGGATTAATTCTTGGTGGGGGTCCTCTCCTGGTTTGCAGACGGCTGCCTTCATGCTGTGCCCTCACATGGTAGAAAGATCATTTCTCTTGTGTCTCTTCTTATAAGTGCACTAATCCCATTTGTGAGGCTTCACCTTCATGTACTAATTACTTCCCAGAGGCTCCAGCTTAAATACTTTCACATTGGGCTTTAGGGCTTCAGTATAGGAATTTCTGAGGTGCACAAACATTTTTGAGGCAGACTTCGTGTGATACCATATTTAAAATGCTTTTCCACCATCCACATCAAAACCCATGTCTTCAACTAGGTAGAACACTTGGTGAGTAGTGACATCTCACGCCTTCTTTGAATGGTGCCTTCATCCCACAGGCCTATCTGGGATGGGTGAGTACGAGCAGGGGTGGCCTGTCGAGGACAAGGGACCCAGCCTTCCTCCACCCTGCCACGAAACTTTGGTTTATTTCCCCCATCAGATCTCAAGGTGGCCAGCACAAATGGACCCAGAGTGGTTTTGGCTTTCCTACTGGGTGTTGGAGCGGGAGGGGGCCGTGCTGCATCCTGCTGCCATATTAGCAGCAGGCTGCAGCCCTGCTGGGCCCCAGCCCATGGGATTAGGGTGGGGACGAGAAGGAACAGCACTGCCTACCCCCCATTCCTGCCCTCTGTGCGCTCATTCACCTCGTTCTGGTAAGGGACCTCACCACCAGCAGCATGGAGAGAGGTGCTCAAAACATGTCCCTCTATCTTTCCATTCTTGAATGACGATGGCCTCCCCTCCAAGAGACTAAAGACCACTGTGGACATGAGCACTCATCCCACCTCACCCTCTTACCCCCTACATGGGAACACAACTGGGAGAGTAGGGGGCCAGGGGCTGTGCCAACTCCAAAAAAAAAGCTCTCCAGAGTGGCGGCCACGTTTCTCCTGCCTGGAGTGGAGGCCACAGCTGGCAGCAGCAGGGAGTCGGCATCCCTCCTTGCAGCTCCTCTGTGCCCGCCTCACTCCTGCTCAGCTCTCTTCACTCCCTTACACCTGCCTCCCCTGACCTCTAGGAAAAGTCAGGGCCATTTATCACCTACCCCGTGGTACCGGGCTCTTTCCC